CCCATCAGTGTATGAATGTGATAGAGCATTGATTATAGGTAAAGTTGAATGCTGTATGAATGGGGACAGATTGTATTATAAGAGCTTTGAGTGTCTTCATGGGATAAGAGAAGCTGTATAAGTACAATCCATTTACCAAGAGAGCACATTTTTGATCAAATTATCTGAAACAAAAGGTTGAAATGAGTGCAGAATAAATGTGAAAGCAACAGAAAAAAGCTCAAATTACCATGAAAACAGTTAAATAGTAGCTGAAATAGAAGAGAAGCTGAAACTTGCAGAAATACACTGATAAGAGTTGAATAAATGTTGCAAACAAATCTAGAGATATAGATAATGTTAATGTGCTAAATTAATTTCTTATGAGGAACAAAATGACAGAAAAAGTTTGAATATTTCTGGAAGGCTAAAGTTGCAAATACCAAGAATCATAGCATATTTTTCCTTAAAAAACTTACTTTCTTAAGATATGATCTGTTGGAATAGCACAGAATAAAAAAAGACAAAATTAGAGGATTATGGAAGATGAAAAATGCCAAATAAATAAGAAAATTAGATGGTTATGGATGTATGGAAACTTGGGAAAAATAAAATAACAATAGAGGAAATGCCTTAAAAGTTACACTTAAGAGTGGGAACTAGAAAAAACGATTACAGAAGCTCAAATGGTCAGAAAGAAGCTACAAGTGAGCAGAAAATTAGCTGCATAAGCATCCTAACTTGCAAGAAATTTATTGATAAGTGGCAAAATCTATGAACAGGTGGGACATTGTGGGGATATAAAGGTCATACATGTTTTTCTCTAACTTATATATTAAGAAAACATGGAAGAAAAACATCAAGTGGGGGACCCAATTATTTCATACTGGTGACCAGTTTCTCTAGATAGGAGAGGGAATTAGGCTCCAAATTATCAAAAAAAGCAGAACAGTGGACCGGGATTGAAGGGTCATGGAATGGAAAAGGGATACAAGCCCTAGTGTTAATAAACTTGTCCAAGAAAAAAATGAAGAAACTTATCACAAAGTTCTCTGGATGCTTCAAGAGGGACCGGTTCATGTGCATTGAGAACAGTGTTGATTGTATTATAAAGAACACGGTGGTTGTGAGAGTTGGCAACAATAATGTCAGAGAAATATTTTGCTCTGACAGTTCTATTTCATATAGGCTTCGCCCTTTAAGGCTGTCGCTTAGTGGGTTTATCCCGTTATGCGCAAGCATCATACTGAAAAAATTAGTCCACGCCCACCTGCTGTGTGGGCCCCACCCGATCCGTATAAATTACATTAAGAGCGGGTAATCTGCTCCCATTTTTCTTCAGCAAGCTAATAAAACAAAGAACAACTGACCTTTTCGTCGAGATGTCCAGCTCCAGCACCATCCGTTTGTGTCCCTCTTGCAAGACCGGCTACTTGCTTAGCTTCGACCGGCACGACACCTGCGAGGGATGCCTGGGTCCCCGCCACGTCGCCCGCGCTTCCTCCTGCCGCCTCTGTGACGAGCTTCCACCGGAGGAAAGGCAGAGGAGAGCAGCCTTGTTTAAGGCTACCATCGAGGACTGCCTGTCCGTGGCGGGAGACTGTTCGCTAGACGACGCCATGGATTTCTTCGACGCCGGCTCTCGGAGTGAATCGGATGATTCCTCTGGGACCGGTGACGCTAGCAGCAGCCCCGATGCTCGTTCCCCCCCGGGGAGCACAGTGTTGGAAAGAGGGAGGCCGAGCGGATGCTCGACTCCCCCGGGGTTTCCCGCTTCAGCGACCACATCGCTCCCTGCCGTGGGCGCGCTCCTCTCGGAGCTGCCCGCCATTATCCGGGAAGCTGCTAGCGTTAAGGGGCTCTCCGTCCCCTCATCCCCCCCCGCTCAGATCGGATGATCTTGCGGGAAGGTTTGGCTCCACGCCGGCTCGCCGTCCTGATCCCATTTGGCCTCGTTTTCCAGCGGTGACAGCGTACTGGAACGAGGCCGCAGCCGGTCCTGGTAGGTTAAGGGCGCCCGTCTCCACTTACGCCCCCATCACCAGAGTGGAGGGGTTCACCGAGCGGGGCTATCCCTCGGTACCCCCCCTTGAGCCAAGCCTCGCGGAAGCCTTCGGAGCAAAGATGTCCAGGCTGGAGAAGCGTCCCGTCCCTCCGGGGAAACACGACCAGGTGGCGACCGCGCTCTCCAACAGAGCTCACCAGTGTGCTTTTCAGGCGGCCGCGGCTAACAACAACGTGGCGCTGTTAGCATTTAGCATGTCGAAGAGGCTGGAGGCCTCAGACCTGCCGGAGGAGACAAAGAGCTCCCTGTGTAAATCGGCAGACGCCGTCCTCAACATGTGCGCCGCTTCCACGGTTTGCCTGTCGAGGATTGCAGCATGGATGACGGTAATCCAACGTTCCATCTGGCTCCGTCACTCTCCCTTGCTGCCGGAAAAGCTGCACAAGGACCTGATGGAGGGCCCCATCTCATCGGACGCGCTGTTCGGAAGCAGCTTGAAGACCATGCTGGCGAATTCTAAGCAGTCGGAGGAGATGTCGGAAGCGGTACGCCATCTCATCAAGCCGCGCGGCTCATCCCGTCCCCCAGCCCGCTGGAGAGACCGTCGGGAGCAGAGGCAGAAACACCGACGCTCCACGGCAGCAGCAGCTTCGTCTCGCCCAGCTCCACCACCAGCCCCGCCCGCCAGAGACCACCCCTCCTCAGTCCGGCAGCCTGCACTCCAGCGCTTCCCCAGAGATCGCCTGCAGACGGCGCTCGGGCCAAACAAACCGCAGAGCTCACGAGGGAGAAGGTTTAAGAAATGACGGTCTGCGGGGGATGTGTGTATGAACGAAACAGGAAGTGAAATAAATGATTTTTCAAAAATCAAAATGCCTGTTTTTAGCCAGTCTGTAAGTTCGGATGAGCTCACAGCCGCTACACACACATCCTCCACACAGAGAGAGCCGGTGACATTAAATAAAGGTTTTTTAAACCCACCGCCGCTCCTTCACATGCCCAGACGCTCACGTGACACCACGGTAAGCGAAATATCTTGTTGTCAATCAGACCCGCACGATCACCACTCAAACGGTGTTAAACGCGCACCCGAGCGAGACAAGCAGCCTCCATCCAAACGGCGCTGTGTCGATGATGCACGCACAGCTGCCCGGCGCTCACCGGCTCACATCGGGATAAATGTGGGACCGCAGGCCGGGTCCGGTGGAGGTCCCCGCTCTCAGCAAAAACAACACACGCCTCTCCTGAATAAACGCGAACGGCCGTCATCCATCGCGTCCCAGCGATAAGCAGCTCACGGCGGCATAAGCGTGAGACAGCTGAATGAATCCAATGACGGGCCCCGCCCTCAGCGAGAGCGGCGCGCGTCCCTCCAGAGGAAACGTGCGCTCCCGCGAAGCTCACAACCTTCACTTCGACAGCACGGCGTTGATGACGTCACGCCCTCCACCTCTCAACGTTCGCACAGCGACGTTAAACGTGCAGCCTCTCGACGTCATCAGTTGACACACGCCTCGCCTCAGCGCACACCGCCCCGCCCGGACATGAAGGTTGGCCCGCGATCCAGACACAGCGCACGGGCACGCGCAGAACAGCCCTTTCGAGGAAGCCTCGCCTTGGGTCACGCGGAAAACATTTCCGCGACGCATGACGGCGGTCGAGGCGGAGGTTTGGATGACATCCGTTCAAAACACGGCACATCATTTAAACGCACGTCCACTCCACGAACGTCACGCAGAGTGGCTAAAAACATGCTCACCGGACAGATGGATGGACAGAGTGTTATGCAAGGGTTACACGCTGCAGTTTGCAACCCGACCCCCTCCGTTCGGAGGAGTTATAGAGACGGTCCTGTCATCACCAGACCAAGTCTCAGCCTTAAATGCAG